AGCCGCCGCCGCCGCCGCCGCAGCCGCCGCCGCAGCCGCAGCAGCAGCAGCCGCCGCCGCCGCCGCCGCAGGGACCATGTCCGAGGACTCGGATTCACTTTCAGAGGAAGAACGCAGCTTGTTCCGTCCGTTCACGCGGGAGTCGCTGGCGGCCATCGAGCAGCGCATCGCCGAGGAATATGCCAAGCAGAAGGAGCTGGAGAAGAAGCGAGCGGAGGGCGAGGTGAGTGCCCGCCTACGTCAACTTCTTGCGCCCGCGTTCACACTGCCGCGTTTCAGAGGGACCCAAGTGTAATAAAACACTCTTTCTTTTTAGAGGATAACTTCGCGATATTGTTTTAAATGTACCCGATTTAGTAACACTTGCCAGAATATATATTATAGACGTGTATCATATCAGGTCCTAGAATGTTCTTTGACAAATCATCAAGCCCCCTATACCCGGGCCTCTCTCGTTCAAATTACTACGTTTCAAAGCTTGTTAAATCAAGGGAGATCGATTTTTTATGTTTTCAAGAGCTTTCTGAGATCTCCAAGTGTTAGGACAAAGAGCCATTCTCTCTTTTTTATTTCGGTGGTCTTACAAAGTAATTGCTAATAAATGTTAAGTTTATATATTGAAATAATGAGAAAACGTTGAAAATTTGATCATTGCACTGTTTACCTCACCTAACGTGCACTCGAATTGATCATTCTCACCCAAATTTAGAACTCAACCAAATCAAAGGAAATGCGCGTTCCTACACGCAATGAAAGAATGTCATGTTTTCTGGAATTGGCCACAAAACTAACCGGTATTATCCTATTGTATTTTTTACAATGCACAGATTAGTATAGTACTCTACAATATTTTGCATCGCTTTATATTTGATTTTCATTACAAAATATCTCGTAAATTTCGCAGTTTTCTCTGTAACGAAAACGTACAGAGGTTCGTCCTTCACGATTATATCTTATAGAGCCCTTCTGTCGTGTGATTCAGGGTGTTACAATATACGTGAACACCTTTTCAGTTTTACGATATTTTCTCGTTACAATCTTCCTACGATTTAGTCTTCCTAGTATTTAATTACCTTTTTTAAAATTCTGTGTTCATAATGATGCCCATTTTCACATTCAGCGAATGTAGGAAGATACTTCAGTACACAAGGAAGAGACTGTCTTTGGTCACTTGAACATGAGAGTATTGTCCCTTCTCGTGCATTTTAGACCACATTCGTAAACATTAGTTTCAGACAATAAATGTGTATTTTACTTTGATTACATAAATGTGTAAATAATTCATTATTATAGTAAAAACCAATTGGCCATGTTAAAATTAAACTAATATTTTTAATTATTAAGACATTCGGGTAAAAAACCCCACGAAAGTCTCTTTGGTCACCTATTTGGTTGCCTGGGTAATATTTTCTAATAAAGTCAAGAACTATGTTACTTTCACTCAAAACATTATTTCCTTTATAGGGGGGAAAAAGCAATGCGAGTCAAGTGTCGGGATAAGATGGGCAAAAGTAGAGGTCCCTTCTGGTAGTTGTATGAAAAGTAACTAGTATCATGACGACAAATTGCTTATTAACTATCGCATATGTATTTTTGGTATTTCAGAAAATGTATTTTGTTCGATTGTTAATTAATACCACGCATACTCATTTGCAAAACTTTTACCTAAAATAGTTCTTTAATTTCAAGAGGGCTTGTTTCTGAAGGTTGAGTGGCATCAAATATTGAAGTTTAAAACGGTGCATTTTTTAAAATTTCTCTTTTAAAATGATACTTGAAAAGAACCTCATCTTCAGAACATCACTCGCGTGTATGAAGACGCTCGTTGCGCGCATCTCGGCATTTCCCGGCAGCATCGGTGAGATGTAGCTGAGGGTAAAGGGACCATCTCTCTCTGTGCCCCTGTTCATAATTGAAAATAACAAAGTAAAAGTTTGCTCTTTCAAAAGATATTCAGCCTCATGATATGCAAAAGTCATAACTCTAGAGTATTTTAGATAATCGTCAAGAGAAATAATAACTATGCGCATTCGTTCTCAGTTTAATAAATCATATTAATTATTGCAAAATTTTACCTTCTATAAAACAGTTACTCGTACAAATACTGGAGTTTGACTAAACAAATTATTAGTGTTACAAATATGTGTTTGACCTATTGACATGATGTTTTTTGTTTTCAGCAAGAAATGTGATTAAATCAAGGATGCAGATAAAACAATATAAAGGGTGACACGTTAAAATAATTCACAAATGCTACAAATAATGATATCCTTGTTAAAATCGAAGCCTTCACGAAAGTTTTAAATAGCGTGAGACTTTGAACAACATTGTAAATGCAAGACACAATATTTTCAACTCGTTAAAGTCTCTGCGATCAATGTCCTTCAAGCTTCATTTTTGGATCATTGACAACCTATATCCAAATGGTATCTCTACAAATTTCTAATAGAAGATTTTAGTCGAATCTGACATGCTGCTTGATGCACTAACGTAATCCCACACGCAGGCAACTGCTCCTCGACCCCGCGAGGAGCGACTAGCAAAGCGTCATTGGAAGCTCCCATCCTGATGCGTGAGCGGGCCAGACCCCCAGGCTGTCAGTTTCACTCGTAGAGTCGATCTCTTCCATGTGGTGGACTTCACTTTTCCCCCTCTCTAGCGCTGTCTCCTCCCCCCCGCCCCCG